CGTAAATCGAAAGATTGAAAAATTCTACTTCTTCATGTTTAATCACAACAGTATGACAGAATTCAAAACAAATGCGATTCATTCTCGAAGGACACTATAAATAACTTTTTTAATTTTATATTATGTGTTACAAATAAAATTTTCCCATATCACGTTGAAGAAAAAGCTCAATCTTTTATCGTTACTGACAACCTCGGGTTAATCTACGACAACCCTTTTATTTAAAAGTTTCTTTTAGCTGTCTATGAGGTGAAAGTCACTCTTTTTATCACAGCTGTTTAGCACTCTTTTTTAGCTGTAAATTAACCCTAAATCCTTCTACAAATTATTTTAATTTAATAAGATCTTATCTTTAATAATTACTTTAATGGAATCTTATCTTAAGATATCCATGATATGAGTATCTTACACTTCTCATCAAAACTAATAGAAAAAAGTATTCTGTTAAATTTAGTTCTAAACTGATTCATTAGAGATGTAAAAGCTATCAAAGTTTCGTCAAAGTTGAAAAGAAAAAAAAAGCATGAAAATACAAGGCAGCTGTAACATATAGTTCTTAGATTTTTTCCTCCTAATGCAAATTTGATGGTATTTAAACTTAAATTAAAAAGCATATCATACTTTTAATGTAATGCAGCAGAAATATTCAACGTAGAAACAAAATCTACGAAAGATAACTTTTAACCATTTTTTAAAAGGAATTACATCTGAAATAATATTACTTAAATGTGATATCTACCAAAAAAATGGTACATTTGATTATATTATTTAAACATTACTATGCTCAACAACAAAAATACCATACCATCAACTTCATTACCAGATATTAAGGTAATATGATATACATATGCTGTTATCGGAATAAATAAGGTATTTGACAGTAATTGGCACAGATTTACTGAATATAAAGTCGTGTTATAATTTGAAGGAAACAGAAATCTTTTTTTTAGAACATATTTTATGATATTCAATGTAAAACTTAAAGAACTGACAGTGTAACACAGAAATTTTATGCTGGTCGCCAAAAAGACGGGAAGAGTAATATTTGAAACATTTCTTAGATATTTTTGAACATTTTTTAATCAATAGTAGGAGTGCAGCAGCAAATAAACTGGAAACATTGATCAAAATATTACCATTCTTCTGTAATAAAAATCTCCAAATATTTGAAATAAATTTTTAAACTTCTTTCTAAAGCTGTTTAAAATTTTTCAACTGTTTAAAAAAGGAATAGATCAGCAAAACGTGAAGTCATTTACTCCCTAGCAGTACGCAATGAATTAAAAAAATATCTACCAACCAGATATTTTTTGTGAATAAATTTATTTGCTTAACAAATTCAGAAATCCAAAACTGCAGTCTTGAGGCATGTCTCAAGTGACAATATAAAATCAAAGTCTTAATTGGTAACCCACACAAACAAAATGACTAGTAACAGAGAATAATAATGTTTCAATCATTCATGCTAATATTTGTTAATCTTTGAGAAAGTCGTCTATCCACAAACTGTAAAGAAACATTCATAACAAATATAACCGCTCTTTATATTTTTTACATAAGCGAAACTTAGAGCAAGAAACTTCCAGATCATTCAGAAATCAATGGTTTCCAGTCCATATCAGATAAACGTGAATTGCAATAACAATCAGTTGGAGCATGGACTTTGTCTCTTTGTGATACAATTTGATTAAAAAAGTATATGAAAAAAATAAGTAAATAAATAAAATAAAATCCTTGCAGATTTGAGGTCATTGGCATAAAAGTTTTTATTACAAATAGTAATGAATCATGTATATGGAACAGTGACTGAGAAATACAAATCCCTATGAATATGAATGGGTATATCATTCAGAATTCTATGAAAAAATTGCTAGGAAGCAAGAATGCTAATATTTAGAGCAGAAAATCTTTGCCAAGATACTGCGATATTAGTGGCAGTATGTTGCTGAAAAGTTTTATGCAAGAGTTTCTTTCCGAGATAAAAACTTCTGCCTTGAATCAAAAATTCTCGTTATTCTGTCAATTAATTCATCAGGACAAATATATAGCGCTGAAAACTTTAATAATAAAGAAGTGGAATGCTAGGTTAAAATCTAGAGGACTTGATTCTTCAGAAAAAAAAGGATAAATGATGGACAGATTTAGCATATGCTAGAGTTCGGTAAGTTGATTTTTTGGCTTAAAACAAATAAAAGAGATGATTATTACTTCTTTCTATTCCTTTCTGCAGAACAGATGCAGTTCGAAGCCTGATGGTGTGGTGAGATGTCGTACATACTTTAGAAACACTAAAAATGTGTGCTATGACTGGTAATTTTAATGAACATATATAATTAGAAAAACTAGTATAATTAAAAAATTAATCAAACTAAATCGGAAAAGACATTAGGATAATTAGTAATAACCTATTATCACTGGTGAAACTTTTATGTAGAGGATCCTATATACTTTATATAAACAGAATTGTATCTCACAAAGAACTAATGTGTTTTTTGAGATGAAATTTTTCTTCTTTATTAAAAAATACAGCAAATAAGCAGTTCAAGAAATTTGGTTTTTGTTTATCGTACTTTTTCACAGAAACACATTCAAATTTTCAAAAAAGACATGAATTATGAAGGAAAATATGTGACAAAGATTTGGCAAAAATTATTTCTAAAAATTTATTTATGCTTCATACAAGGGTCATTTATTTCGCTTTTTTAGATAAACAGATATCCAGAAATTTTTAACAAAAAAGAACTCATTCTGATTTGATTTCCATCCTTACCATTTCATATGTCACATTTTTTAATATATGCGACAAGAAAACCAATATAACGATATTAATTTTTTTAGTACTGTTATATTGCTTTTCTAATTTTCTAAGTACAACTGTAAAAATTTAAATAATAATTTCCTTTAAAAAATAATGTGAAATATTTTAAATTATACTTTTCGATGCTGTCTAGACTAACATTACAGTTTTAGTATTTCATCCGTAAATGGTCCGTCATCATTTTTATTTAATTTCTATTGCCTTGAGAGGATGAATTGTTATTCATTGAGAAATTCTTTCTAATACTTTTTCCATTGTGAGGAATTAATGAAAGCGCAACTGATAACAATAACCAGAAGTGAAGTATGAATTGGGTTGATTTAGATAAGTTTATCTTTTTACTGAATACATAATAAGGCTTCTTTGTTACATATGTGTTGACCAAACAAAACCAAAATTAGTGCGATATTTTTGTTCATAATTGAACTATAGTAGAAATACTGAAGTGGAAGAAAAAATAAAAGTTTAGTTGTGGCAGTAAAATTAACAAACCAAGAAAAACTTACTAAGAGATTAACATGTTTTCTCCAAAAAAAATTCTCATAAAGCTTTAAAAAATTTAACACAAACAAAAAATCTCATCCTTTTTTCTTAGTGAATTGAAAAACTGCAACTATTATTAGTTCAATAATTTGTTTATCTTCTTCTAAAATAATAATCACAAATTGTTCGAACAAATTTTCATATCTGTAAAGGAAAGGCTAAATTTTCGAACTTCATTAATATAACTGAATCAGTTCCTTGACTCTTTAAATTACTAACAACAACGATTTCAGGAATTGAAATAAACAATTCTAATATGCTAATAGTCAAAATTAATCAGAATTAATTAGTTATCCTTATGAAAATGAAAAGTTTTGGTCCAATATGTTTGACCGACACAAACAGCAACTGTGTAATGTTACAATATCCAATCTAATATCAAAAATAATTTGGATTTATTAAAAAAAAGAAAAACGCACACACACAACTGAGCTCTTCTCCATTTTCTAATTTGTCCACAGTATTACGAGGTAAGTTTAATTGTTAGCAACACTGACTAGGTTCAATGAACTCTGCCTCACACGAATGATGATATGAAATCAGTGGGATTATTTTGCTCTACATATTTTACACTATCAGTGGGAAAGAAGTGATTTTCACATTTGAGTGGATATCTAGTGCAGAGTTTTGTTGGAAGCTTAAGTTCACATTAGATAAGGCCAGCAAAAAGTCTTCTAAATAAAATTATATGCTGGCAGAAATATTTGAAATGAAAAAACATAAATTAAAACTCTGAGCGACAGTCACATAGAGATAAATTGATTGATTGCTACAAACACTAAATTTTTTTAAATAAATGGAATATTGCAAGTTAATTAAATACAGTCATTTGAATATGCGTTGCAGTTCTATTCTCAGCAGCGATTGTATCCACTTCATCTCAGCAGTTAAGCAAACAGTTAGCAATTAAGTGGACAAACAATTTTAGAATGTGCGAGAAGCAGGATGTTAGACCTCCAATGAAACAGTGATGATGAAACTTCCTGTTTATCTGCTATATTTCTTTTCTTCCTTGCCTTAATTTAAAAGCATTAGATCACTTATGATATAAACCCAGCACCACTACTTCAGTCATAAAGGATGATGAAATGATGAGAGAAGTCGAAAATTTGATAAACAGTAACGAATTCTAGGAAAAGATTTGAAAAAAGAAGCCCTATAATGAACTGAAAAATATAATAACTAAAATTTTAAATCTTAAAACATATATAATTAGCACAGTTTGATCCTCAACGTATCATATCCTTGCTCTTATGATCCTCTGTGCGGCCATACTTTTACGAACTCCATTAACTGCTATAATTGGTTCTCACAGAGAAAATCAGAAGCGCAAGTAGCACTTACGACTGACTCATAAATTGTGTTTTCATTTCATACGATAACATTTTTGGTATGGTAAAAACATCTGCCATTAACAGTATCTAGGAATGAGTTTGAGTGTATAACATTTGCAGACCAAAATCCTATTTGGGTGCATACGGTGCACTTCTACATTTGCGCATATATATATGTTTATCTTCAGCAATACTTCTATATTGTTATTTTTCGTATTGTTATGTTTTGTTCAGCAGTACAAGTAAATCCTTACGTATAACACTTGCTAGGAATGAAAAATTATGAACTAATCGAACAGATTTAATCAATAATTAGTAATATAATGAACTGACCAGTTGAAACAGTGCTGACGATACGTACAGCACTGTACTTTCGTTTTGTAGGACGACGAAGCATGCGAGATAGTCGCCCCTCTTCCTGATCTGCATTCAGTGTAGGCGGAACAAATACGGACATCCTTCGTGGAAAATGATTTGTTTACCTAAGTGTACCAGACATTTCATACCAGTGGGATGACCAATAGGCTAATCGTATTTAAAACATTCTTTTTTATATGGAATGGCAACAGCATTCAGCGAAGCAGAGGTAACTTAGAATAAGAAGTTTGAATGTTCGTATACCTGGTACAAAGTGGAGATCTGATGGAAGAAGTGAATTGCAATAGGATAAATATGAAGAGTGTATGAGGAGCGGAGTGATCGGCTGATGGGATGCAAAGCGGTTGTGTATAAGCAGTGTCCTTTCCTCATAAGCTGTGATAATTCTGGAATTTCTACATAATATAAACATCCACATAAAGCAATCCCCACTTCATGTATAACAGCCATCTTTGTAATCAAATGAATTGATTTATATCTCCTGTGTTCTCTACTTCGAAGCTTATCAGAATTTAACAGTGCTTCTAAATTTTACTAACTTTTCAGTATATATTGAAAATAAAGCGAATATCGTTAAGCTTAACATGGTACTAATGTCTTCCATGCTTTTTCACTATTTATGAAGTCAGCTTTTACAAATTAGTTGTTTATAAAGGAGTTTCAAATTAAAAATTTTGTTAACCATTACAGGAGATATCAATATATGCTCCTTCGCCAATCTTATTCTTCTGATCTCTTTAACAATATTAAAAGATTTGTAGGAAAAAAAAAGACGCATGCAAAGAACATCATTGAAATTTAATGGTTTTTCAGTATATCTCCTCTGCACGTACAATCGCACGTCTAACGACTTGAATATTAACTTCTGCAATAAACAATGTCTGAAAGCAGTTAAAAGTGCAAAGCAGCTAATTTCAAAGTCTCCTTTTACAAACATTCTACTTTTTCCTTTAAAATAGCAAATTTATAGAAGAATATTGAAAGAAAAAATTACTTACAAAAGAATGGCGAAAATCGACTGCGTGAGAAGTATTTGAAGGAGGATTGTTTTCGTGATAATGGAAGAAAACGTTGTATGCAGGAAAGTAGGAGAGATGATAGGAGATATTGAACGTTCTTGACAAATCCACACTAGTTTTTAAATGAATGACTGTCACCTCAACTCACTCTTCTTCATTATAATCAGCTTGTGTAACCAATAGGCTAGAATAAGTTAGGCGCTTATTTTAAGCGCGTCAATTGGCTGACAAGAACAGGACTAGAAAAAGTGACAATGACACTATAGAAGGACGATAGAAGGATTTAGATGGCTTTAGAAATAAGGTCTTTCTGAAACTTTTAAATCGTCAAATTCTCTGATATTTTTAGAGGCCCGGTTGTGCACTTCTGAAAAATTCAAATCTGTAAGGGAGATCTGAAATGGACAATATTATACCTCCCATCTTAACTTTGTAAGCCAAGAATCTGATAAAGATTTTACTTAATATTATTGTCCAAACAGCAGTAAAGATGAAACAAGCTTTTGCTACTTATATACACTGCAGTCGATAATTAGATAGTTCTTGAAGTAGTATTTGTTGCTCACAGTATATAATTTATTAGCGATAGCGAATTCATTATGGAAATATGGATCCGAAACTGATCGGTGCAATAGTTATTTAACCATCCAGTTTTCTTTTCTGATAGTTCCATTCTTGTATAATTCGTATTGATGAAGTTATCACAATTCTGACATGAACAAATTTTGACTTAACTTACTAATACTACTAACGAGGGAAATGTACATTTATTTCAGTACCTATGTGAATCACTGAACTCTTAAGTTTGCTGATGAATACTATTGCAAATTTACCACCCAAAAAGGATTTGAATTTGAATGACAAATGATTTTTTCGTATCTACCAGTTAAGCTATCAGAAACTTTATTTAAACAAAACAATGTTAAGGTTTGTAACACCTGATTATTAATTGATTACTATATTAAATTTTCATAAAATTTATTGTTATTCCTAACTAATGATGAAAAGCAACAAAAAAGCTTCAGAGCGCTATGTCTTCTTTTAAAACCAGATGATGTTTTCAAGAAACTTATAGAAAACTTCAAGAAGTCTCAGGAAGTTTTTCGTTACTAGTTTAAGTAGAAAATAATTTCAAAATGAATTACCGCTGATATCTTTAGTGCACAACTAAAAAATTATGTATTCATGCATCATTTCTGGTTTAAAATCAGTGGAGTGAAATAATTAAGGCATCTTTAACTTCCAAAGTTTATTGAGACTAAATGGCGCTTATAACAAAAGAGAGGCAGCTGAAAAAGATAAATTTAGAATATCGAGGACCCAGTAAAGACCATATTCTCCTCTTTACTTCGAGTACTAACATTTTCGGCTATTGAAGACTTCGCATTTCCTACACTTCCAACTTTGGTTCAGCTACACAAATTAACCACTTCCAAAGTTCCACTAGATAAAATAACATGTGAAATGAAAAATGTAAAAAGGAAATAGGAAGATACAGATTCAATAATGTTATCGTTTCCTTTTGATTGGAGTTAACAACTAAAAGTCAAGACTTCGCTGTAGTGATGAAGATGATATGATTTCTTAGCGGTACCGGCTTATATGGCTTACTTATCTCCACTTTTAACCTCCCATCTACCACGGTGAAGTTCATCGATACTTGAAATAAGTAACTTAATGTTTGAGATAGCAAAATAGATTGTACATAATATGCAAAGGGAAGACATTTTATCATTTAATAAAATTTTGACAGGTTCCGCTGTATTTAGATCCATTCTAACTGTAAAGTAGTAAGGCAGATAGGTGATTACGGCTTGCTAAAAATCAGATTCAAATTTGGTTCTAATTTTAAACCAAAAGATTTTTTGTAATAGTTCTATGTCGCGTATTCACCATTTCCGTAGTAACAGCAAAGTTTCTACTTCTGAAAAGAGAATTCAATCACGAGTAAACATGTTGATTTCCACTCCCTCCCGCGTTTTTTTAAAATATGGCCGTGAAATGATTATAGTTTACACTGACGAGTTACCAAGTTAAAAATAGAAGAGGATGAAGTGGTAGGAGCAGGAGATGCATACTAGTTGCTCAGTACTCACTGTATCACTAGTGCCTAAAATTGTCAGAATACAGTTTCATATAGATGCATAATCGGAATATACTTATCTTTTGTAACAAGGCAGCTACTAGCGCCGTCTTTTCAACCATTTAAAAACTCATAAGAGCCAATTAACAAATGCATATCGTCTTACGAAAGTAAAGTCTCCAGTTATAGATATGGAATACTTTTGGTATGCAAACGGCCAGCATATGATAAGACTATACTTATAAAAATTTAGTCGCCTGTTGTTTCAATCTGTGTGTTTCAATTAGTATTGCCTACATTTATTGAGAGCATAGCAAAGATCGTTTTCCAAGTTTATTGCTGAAGCACATGATTACAGTGATGATGGGCCCTTTAATAATACCCTAGGCTTATTAAAGCTAAATATTACATAAAATAGTGATTTTTAAGTAGCATTAATATTAAATATAATAATATTAAATTTATATTAAAGAACTGTTCGATGCACAAATAAAAATTCACAACTGAGTCAACTGTGATCATGTTTTAGAACAAATCGGGAATTACGCAACATAAATTATACTGATAAAAACAAAAATGTTGCCCTGGGTGATAAAAGATACATCTGCAACTATATTATAACTTCCGATAGCTACTTGTGCATCACCGCCGTTTGTTTTACTCCAATTTAAAAAATTCAAATGAAGCTCAATAGCAGAAGCAGTAAGGCACGTGCCAAAAACTGAGAAGAAAATGGAAAAACGCATAAATATAATCGGACATGAATGACAGGAAAACAAAATAGCATGCTTAGTCCCAGTGGAGTAATCAGAAATAAAACTTAACAAACTCAGTCTTAGTTATACTTTGTTGGTAATCATTTTATCATATCATACTGACCACCGATCGTCTACTGTATTAAATAATCTGTATGATAAAATTCGAAAGAGAATGCATTACTGAGGTCTTTGATACATACTGACAGAAACATTGCACACGAATCAATTTTAGATTAAACTTACTATACGTATATCATTTCGAGCATAATACATTCACGCTACATTTACCTGTAAAAATATTCTTATATTGTAGTGTTCAAGAACATTTATCAACAAACTGAATTTACAAATTCTCGATGCGTCCGAGACTGGATGTTCATCGTTGATATATTCCAGCTCTTCTTAGACATCTATATCTGGGCGGATTGGATTACCATGTTGGAATACCTTCAAAACTGATCATACAACATTGATAATTGATCTAGAACAAGAAAAAGCCCTATATTGATAAAGGCCAATGCTGAAGTCGACATTCGAAACAAACATGCTTGAAACACTTTATCTCTTCTGCTAAACACATACCCTGAATTTATATAGTTTGGAAAAGTTAAAGCAAAAATGAAATAATAAAGTGGAAGAACCTTCGAAATATAAAAAACAAAAAACAAAAACTGAGCACTTAATTCATAGCATAATAGCATGATTGACAGCACTGGTATTTGAAAGCCAAAACTAAAAAAATAACTTGCAAATAAGTGAAGGGCATAAACGAACTTGAAACGATATGAATAGCCGCAAGGAAAGTGAATCGCTCATGTAAACAATATAAAACTATGTCCAAATTTAATATATACGAACATTAGAAATATTATCAAAAACAACATGAATAAGATAACATTGCAAACTATCATGGCAAAGTTCAACTGAATTATGAACTCTATTAACCGGCTTATATATAATGCACCGAAAACTGGATATGACTCTTATTTTTTTCTTTTTTCACTTAAACTTCATTAGCGATACACCTCTGCTGTAATATGATAGCCCGGTAAGAAAACAGATTGTCTGATATGATAGCTTGGTAAGAAAACTGATAAAAAAGCTTAACTGTTTGCTGCAAGATGAAGAAAAAAAAAAGCATACATAATATAATAAGAATTAAAACAAGGAAGATTCGCAACATATTAATGAGTAAGAAAGGAAAACTATACAATAATGCCAGTAAAACTGAGTAGGAAGTATGGTAAGTGCACTCATTAAATAAAACTGTCTACTTTCGATTATCAAACTTTTTTATTCGATCATTTGAACATATGCCATTGATCTGCTGTGAACAGAAGACATTTGAACCCAGAAAATTTTCCATTGGAAATCCTGTCACTGTGCTCTGATGCGACAATATATCCAGTGATTCTTGTACATACATCAAAAATGTTGATAATCCTATAAATATTCCACATAGGATCAAAGCATGACTTGATTTTGATGAAAACTATCAGTGAACAGTGCACCGAAAAATACCAAATGAATTATATAAAGGAATTTTCAATGGTATGCTATATAAAAAAAAAATGCCTCTACAGCTTAAAA